TTAATAATAAGGTACAATTTTTGTATACTTTTATCTTTTTAATACATTTTAGCAATGATCCAGCTTTATGGGAAGTAAATGATAGGACAAAAGATTATATTTCTATAAATGGTTTTACACAGAATGTTGAAAAATTAAACTTTTCAAAATCAAAAAGACGTTATCAGGGAATTGTTAGAGGCAAATTTCAGGATTATTTTAGATATTGTACATCTAATTTGTTTTATAGTGTTCTAAGAAATGGAGAAAAAGTAAAGAGAAATTTTCTTCTTTACTCTGAAAGTACAGGAAAACTATATTGCGTTCCTTGTCGGATATTTGATGGAGTATCTAGTTTTTCTATTCATGGATTTTCTGATTGGAAAAAAGCTAGAGTTAAACTTTCTTCTCATGAAAATTCAAATCATCATAGATTTTGTGTTTTAATAATGAAAGATAGAAGTGACGTTTTAAAAAGAATTGATTCAAAATTATTGCTTCAAATGGATACAGAAATTCAGTACTGGACATAAGTGTTAACTAGAGTAGTTGCCGTTGTCAAATCATTGTCTTCAAGAGGATTGTCATTCAGAGGAGATAATGAAATATTTGGTTCAACACATAATGGTAATTTTATGATGGCTATTGAACTTATTGCAGAGTTTGATCCTTTTTTGGCTCAACATATAAAAACATATGGACATTCAGGAAAAGGTCATACATCGTATCTGTCTTCCCACACTTATGAACAATTTATTATTGTTATGGCAAATCAAGTAACTGATCAAATCATAAAAGAAGTTCACAAAGCACGTTATTTTTCAATAAGTGTGGACTCAACTCCAGATATTTCTCACAAAGATCAACTCTCTTTTATTTTACGCTATGTGTCTGAAAATGGAAAGCCTGTAGAACGTTTTTTATGTTTTATTGAAAATAGTGGTCATAAAGCAGAAGAATTGATAGATGCAGTTTTTACTGTAATTAACTCCTATAACATTGACATATCTTACCTTAGAGGACAAACTTATGATAACGCAATGAATATGTCCGGACAATATAGTGGATTACAAGCTAGGATTAAAGAAATTAATCCTTTGGCTGATTACATACCATGTTCAGCACACTCATTAAACCTTATTGGTACATGCGCTGCAAGTTGTTGTAAAAATGCTTGTAATTTTTTTAATTTACTTCAAAGTATATATACTTTTTTTTCAACTTCTACTAATCGATGGGAAATACTATCAGCTTCAGTAAAAGAGTTATCTGCAACACGTTGGTCTGCACGAGAAGATGCATGTAGAAGCTTAAATAATTATTGGGATAGAGTAATCAGTGCTCTTAAAGAAATTAAAAATAATGATCAACAAAAGGCACAAACGCGATGTGAAGCGAAAGGTATTTTGAAAAGTTTGGCTTGCTTTGAAAATAATTTAATGTCTATATTTTGGGGAGATCTTCTTGGACGTTTTAATGCTGTGAGTAAAAAGTTACAGTCAATCGATATTGACTTGTATTTAGTGGTTGAATTGTATGAATCGCTCATTCAATATATTTCTAATCTTCGTAATGAAAAAATGTTTAAAATGTATGAAGATCGAGCTTCTAAATTACATGGAGGTGACACAGAATATAAATTAGATGTACAAAGAAAGAGGAAAAGAAAAATTTTCTACGATGAACCACAAGATGAACTTAATTTTTGTGGAAGAAAACATTTTTTGATAAATACTTACTATGTTATTTTAGATAAAATACATACAGAGTTATTCAAACGAAAAGAGTCATATGATAAAATAACATTAAAATATTCCTTTTTTTTTAACCTAACTACAATATCGGAATCAGAAGTTTTGAAATGTGCTGAAAACTTATGTAAAATATACAAAGATGACTTAGATAAAAGCTTTTGTAATGAATGTGTACACTTCCAAAGTCATATTAAGTCTCTTAAAGATAAAGCTCCAAAAAATATTCGGGACCTAAGTACACTGATACGATCCAAAGATTTACAAACAATCTATCCATATGTGGATATTGCACTTAGAATGTTTCTGTGTACACCAGCAACGAATTGTTCTTCAGAAAGATCTTTTTCAACCCTGAGAAGATTAAAAACATATCTTAGATCGGTCATGAATAATGATCGTTTAAATGCTTTAGCTGTACTAAATATTGAAAGTGAACTAACTTCTAGCATCAATTATGATAACATAATTAAAGAATTTGCCGAGTCACAATCCAGAAAAAAAATTTAAATGTATTAATAATATATACATACAAATATACAATATATATACATAATAAAAAATAAATGTTTGTACAATAAACCTATTCGTTTTAAATTACATTAAATTTGTATTTTGTGTAATGGGGCGTTTTTTTTTTGTTGCCCCCTGGTGTAAAATTCCTGAATACGGCCCTGCTTACACCCCAAAAATATTTGGTTATTTGGTTATTTAATTATAATATTATATTATTATTATAAAATTAAGTGTATTATTATAAAAATGTATTAAATTATTCAGGCGTTCATACAATTTTAAAATGCTTAAAATGTTAATATTTAAACTATTTTTTTGGTTGACTTTGTAATGCCATGATATTCACATAATCATATCTAGAGATTTTAGAAGTGTTGTATTTTTGTATATTTTCTTCAATGAATTTAATATTTTTTTCGTTGACTGATCAATTTATTTTAGGTATTTGATCAGAAGTTTGTATTAAAATTTTTGTGTCTATTTGAATTTTTTTTAATATTTCTGAGAAGGAATATATGTCCGGATGAGGTGTGTAAAAACATGAATTAAATTTAGAATGAAAGCTTTCACACACATTTGTTCGTTCACTGCTACTGCTCATTTCTGCTCATGTGTGAGGAGGGAAGTCTGACTGTGGATCAATATAGTTTTCTACAAAATAATCCATAAACTGATTTAGTTTTTCAGCATCAGGCTTGATAGACATAAAATCTTCAGTAAAACTTATTTCAATATCATGTTCATTCAGCATGTGTAATCCAAATATATTCTTTAAAGACTGTCCTATTTCTGAACGTCATCACAATAATGAATACTTAAACCAAGATTCTGTACTTTTCGCCACCATTCCTGTCCCAGATGAAACCGACAACTTTTTGTAATAATATCTTGCACCCATATGTATAGATTTTTCAAAATCTGCGTATATAATTTCGGGGTTAAAACATGAATTAAATTTTGTACATTCATTTTTTAACGCCAAAAAACACGAAGAATAAGATTCTGTTTGTTTATTATTCAATAAAAAAAATACTAATGGTATGTAATAACCATTATTTAAACCATGAATGGTAAAAAAATGTAAAAAAAATTTTGGACAGTACTTAAATGTACCATCTACATATATTGTTTTTTCGGCACATAAAGTAGCTAAATTTTTTTTACGTGAAAACATAACCAAGTTTTTATTACTGTTATTCACTAGAAGAAATGTTTCATTATCAAATGTTTTAATTTCTAATAAAGTTAATGAACTATGTACGTCTTGAATATTAGTTGGTTTTTTGGGTAGTATTGAACGGTGAGCAGCATAAATCCCTTTTCGAATACAAGATGTCAGTCGTCGTTAAAAAATCCGTTTTTTTATTTTTTAGTTCCAAATGAATTAGTTTGAGTGGAAGTTTACAATGTTCTTCTTGAGCTTTTCGTTTTACAGAGTTCCTTATTACTTGTCTCATCGTTTTTCCTTCAGATTCTAAATTATGATTATGATTTAAATTACTATCAATAATTGTCTTTTCACTCATATCTGTTTTTATGTAAGCTTTACACTTTACCTACGAGAACCCCTCCATATATTAAAAGCACAGGAAGAAAAAAATAAAGCAAAACGTTATTCGTTAGAAATAAAATAAACCAACAAGTTATAAATACATATACCTAACATTGTTAAATTCTTTTTTTATATTATAGGTACTATGAAACATAGTTTTATTTTAATAAATTTCGAATAATAACCCTCTACAACTATTACACAGTATACAATTATTCATTAATTACAATAGGACAAAATCTCTGGAAAACATAGCTTTAAGGCAACGTTTAATTGATTATTTAATTGAAGTCATTGGTGAAGAAAACTTAGTACATACTACCTACTTCAAAAATTTCATTATCAATTGAACAATATACAGGAAATGAATCTGAAGATGTAATTGTAATTGTTATGAAAATATTCAAATGTTGGAGAATAATTATTTATCCAATGAATCTATAAAAACTCCAAATGGCTTACCAATGCAGTTGAAAAAAACATATTTTAAGTTTAATACAGCTATTCCATCATCAGCTTCTGTGGAAAGGCTTTTTAATGGTGAAAGCATTTGACGAAAAAAAAAAGAAACAAAATGGATGACAAGAATTTTGAGATGACACTTTTACTTAAACATAACAAATACCTATCTTAATTGTTAATTTTAAATTTTAATAACATTGACTTGAAACTTTTATTTTACCATAAATATAGTATTTTCCTGTTGTAATTAGCTGATTGCGTTAAGTCGATAGTATCAAATAATAAACTGTTTTTGTTGTTACTGTTTTTATAACTACGATCTTACATTCTTTAATTCTTACTTGTAGTACATTACAGTTAGTAAGTGTCTGACTGAAAATGCTATAGTTTATAAATAAATCATGACATTTAAATATGAAATATTATTTATTTTTGGTATTATAATATTTTAAAAAAGAATATTATTTTGATTTGTTGCTACTTTAGATACCAGGTATGCTTTATGTTTCTTGTTTAATAGGTACTCATGAATAACTTTTCTTATAAAAGTGTATAATAAGTTTATTCAGTGTATTTTCACTTTATGATTTGATTATTAATTATAATAGTTAATCTAACGGTTTTTTTTTGGATTTCTAAGGATAATTTTCATTATCGTGGTTTTTAAGTTTTAAACTTCTCAGTTCTCTAAAAATGAATATGTTTTATAAAATATGAAAAGTCTAACTAAGATAGTAGACTTACAGTAAAATGTATACTACTACTAATATCTTCTCCAGACCTTAACAAGTTTAGTATAGTTTAAAGTTTATGAGTTAAAATATAAGTATCAGGTAACAATGTACTATAATACCTATAATAATAATTTTAAGTTGTATGTTTAAGTTTATTATAGTTTGTTCAGTACTAAGCGTTTTAGTAAATGTTTGTACCAATCAAATTACTGGGACAATAACTTGTCTTATGAATATTATGACTAGAAAAAAAATTCAACCTTTTTTAACTAAGTTAAGTTACGCCAATTTTATTGAATTAACTAACTTTGAAACAGTTAATTATTTTCATTAATTTAACTCCTTTGAGAGTTGCCCATTTAAACAGTTTTGGCAATGTGTTGTAGCCACCCTTTCAGCTTAGAAGTTGATTTTTATTTCTTTGGGCCGAAACAAGTGCACTTGCTCGCTGTATGGATCAATGTCCCAAGTACATTAGTACATTAGTTACATCAGTAACTGTTCTTCGACTTTTCGAGTATATTTTTGCGATAGTTTTCGGCATCGGTAACTATGTGTTTGTAACGGCGGCATGTGTTTTAGCCGCTCTCACAGCGTGGAAGATTATTTTTCTTACTTTTGACTTAAAAGGGTTCACTTTCTCGGTGTATGTACCAGGATCGCACTCGCTATTCACTACAGTTCTTCGCTTTTAGCGACGGCGGCATCGGTTGCCAGTGACTGCGACATTTGGGGGCATCACGATAACCGTATATGATCCGATTACATTCGTCTTGTCATTGATCATAAATACAATAGATAACTTACTGAGCGGTTTTTCGACGGTATGATAAATCTTGCGTAAAGCATGATGTAAATAACCAGGTATGATCCTACTGAATACGTTCTCATGGTATGTTCTGTGCGCCACATATGTCGTGAATAAAGTGGTGATGTCGGCATCGTAACATTATAAAAGGAAACTTCAATGACTCAATGTATTTGTTGCGCACGAGATGTCAGCGGCATGCGCATCGGATCTGCGTGACCATACCAGGTTATTCCAATCGTGATGTAACGCCGTGATCGCTGCAGTCAATTGAGCGACAGTGGCGCTACCTGCAACTCGGCAGTCGTTAATAGTGATGGGCGGTACTCATAATTCGTACTATCGAATAATAATCGATTATTCGTGCAAACTATCGAATCATTTTTCGAACAATAAATTGCATGACCGAATAATGTGTTTAAATAAAAATTACTCGAATAATTCGATAACAAATAATATTATCGTTTCAAATTAAATTATTCGAATGATTATTGATTAATTGCATGATTGAATAACCTACCAAATAACCTAAACGAATTAGGTATTCGAATAATTTAAATTATGATTAGTAACAAAATTAATTATTCAAATATCAAGTTTTCCCACTTATAATAACAATTAAAGTACTAAACTAAAGTTAGAAGTTAATAATAATTTATGATATAATTTTATATTTTTCAATCGCTCTGTAAATTGAAGGAACACGCTGTATGCGTTCGAAAATACGTTAAAATATTTTAAGTTATTAATGTTATTAAATTAATTATATCCAGACGTAACAACGATAATATAGTATATAAGACATGTTATTGTTATCGAATACATCGTCATTTTGGGGAAAAAATAAATACACACTTTAAAAACCAATTGTATCATTAGATTCTTGACAATACCTGATCGCCTACGCCCTACGCCCTACAATATAATTAATTGAAACTTTGTCTCGTCGCTATTCGCTAGTCAAAATTAATAATTATGAACCTTCCAAGTCCAAGTGAACACTATATTTGTCGACAACGGCGATCTGTGTTATGGATGTGGTACTACTACCCGTCGACCACGGAGTTCAACGTGTTAACATACTTTCTACAGGTAGTATTTTACCCATGTATCCTTTCTAAGTTAAAGATCGGATTTATATGCATTTTAAATTGTAAAATATGCATGCAAACATGCACTAAAAAAATTCAAAAAATGCAAAACATACAAAATAAAATTTAAATTTTTATTCAATTTTATATTTGATAATTATTTATTAATTGTATTACATTTTTCATAAATAAAAAGTAACATGAATAATATATTCCAAAATTCAATTTTTTATTAAATTGTATTTTAATTTTTAAGCATTGATATATTGTAAAAAATATTTTATTAAAATTAATAATAGATACATTGATATAAATAGGAAAAACGTACGAACAATTTAAGGTAGTACCTAAGTTAATTATAAAAACAATAAGTTATCAAAGTATGTTCCATGTTTATTTCTGTGAAATTATGACGGCGATCTGTAAGAATGTACTTGTAGGATGAAAAACTGCGTTTAACATCAACACTGGTGATCGGAGCATATTTAAGGTTGGCTAGTATATCCGGCGAATAATTTGGAACAGATAAATCGTTGAAATTAGCACTGTCACCTTGAAGTATTTTCGAAATTTCTTTTAAAACCATTAATCCATTATTTTTATTCAAAACGTTTTTATATTTTGTTTTAATTATTGTACTTTTTACACTAGTAGGAAGTTCATTGACAGAGTTTTCCACTTGCTCTAAAATTTTGAACGAGTCTACAAGGGACAAATTAGAGGTTTCAAGTTTTTTGATACTTTCAACAATACATACGAAGTTTGCTTTAATGTAAGTAAGATCATATTTTACATTTAATTCATTAAAAATTGATTTACAATTTTGAATGCATCCTCTTTGTTTTCAATCACATTTTTGAACTCTTCAAAATGATCTGCGTAAAAATATACTGACTCTAGCTAAGCACCCCAACGGGTAATTATTGGCTGCGGTGGTAAATGTGTATTTAGTAACATTTCCTTACATAATTGAATTCTATACGAAGCCTTTGAGAGAATTTTTTTTCCATTATTAATTAAATCATTAATGTCACTAAAATTATCTATAATTTTTTCAGCAATTCGGTGAATACCATGTGCGACACAAGTTGCATGTACAAGATTCGAATAAAATGGTTTTAAATTTTGTCATATAAGGAGCAGCATCAGATAACATCAACTAAACTTTATCTTCATTGTTACCTCCAGGCCACAATTGTTTACAAATTGTGCTATAGTTGAATTATTGGTTTTTTCGAGAACTTTCGATGTTAAAAGATACGATTTAGAAGGCGAATCGACATTTAATTTACCAACAGTAAAATTTGCTACATATTTTCCACAAGGATCAGGAGTTTCATCAACAGAAAAAAATATGTATGAGCTGCCTATGATTTATCGGATATTTTGTGAAACGTCTGTCTAACATTGATTTAAATAGTTTTTTCTTAATGTACTTTCATCTGGTATATGTTTTTTTGTGTACTTTTCCAAAAAAGATTTAAAGTTTTTATTTTTTAATTTATGTAAAGGTATGTTTGAAGAAATTAATGTATTACAAAGTTCTTTGATCAATTGTGATTGATTTTCTATGGATGTTGATGCTTCATGAACAAAGGTTTGTTGAGAAGAAGATTTGTTTAAACATTTTTCGTGCAACAATGATTTTGCATGTTGATCAATTTGAAATTTTTTTTCTGCTGTTACTGGTTTTTGACTATGCTGACAGAAAACTGTTGTATTATTTAATATTTTGAAAACCTCACCAGAAATATTACAGCAATCACCGTACAACACTATCAGTTTGAAAATGTAGAGGAAAAACTATCGACTACTTTGGACATTCTCGGAAAATACTATAGACGCAATTACCTAAAACCCAATCCAAGCAAAACACAAGTATGTGCTTTCCACCTAAGGAATCGATGTGCCTTCCGTATCCTTAACGTCTATTGGAATGAGACGAAAATTACTAATACACAGTGTTCAAAATATCTCGGAATAACACTAGATCGATCCCTCACCTACAGATTCCATTGCGAAAACACCAAACATAAAATAATGACAAGAAATGGCATATTGCGGAAGCTTAGTGGCTCATGTTGCACTAAACGAGTCCTGCCTATTCATAACTGGTTGCAATTTAGTAATATAATGTTTATAAAGTAATAAATAAAAAATATTCATAGTTTTGTAGTACTTTTTACTCATCTGTTATTTTATTTAATATAGAAATATTAGTTTAAGTCAATGACAATGTCAAGTATTTTTAGTTATAATATATAAGTAAATTTAAAAAATATAAAAAAATTTATAATATATACCTAAGTAAATTTAAAAAATATAAAAAAAATCATTTGGTATGAAATGTTTTGTAACAATCAACACAAAGTCCAACATCGGTCTTATTACACATTGTTCTAACTGAAGAAGTGCACATTGCTCCAGCACATCTTTTTCTTTCACCATCAACTGTTGGTATGACATGATGGTCAAGGCGGTCAAAACGAATACCCTCTGGAACTCTTGATGATGCGCTACTGGGTAGTCCTTTTCTTTTTGGAGCGTTTTTGAAACGTGTTAGAAATTCTTGAACAATTGATCGTCTAAATTCTAACTGAATAACCTTATGACCAGAATTAACATAAAGTTTCCATGAATTGGTTATAGCAACATCAATCAGCCATGTAAATTAAGACCACCACCATCTTTTACCTCGAATTCCAATTCTATGGCGAGCTATGTTTTCATCCATTTGGTCTGTTCCACTCGTGTATTTATTGTACATAAAAACACAATTTGGCATATCAACTTGCACAATTTTCTTTTGTGTTTAGAGTACCTTTTGATCTTACTTTGTGGGGTTACCCCTATTTAACCAAGTACACTACACAGTATGTAATTGTAATGTGCAAGTAGAACCTTTTTTTGTATTAAGCATACACACACAAAGATTCAAAAAAAAATATTAATAATACATTATAATAAAATATTTATATATAATTATGCTTACTCTAGTTGAAAATCCATTGCCGTATAAAAGTCTGTAGCTGAACAAAACGGAATAATCGTTATAAATATTATGAACTGTCGTTAGATGGTAACCACACTACTAGTAAAATCGATAAACATACGGAGAATCAATTGCTATGATTAGATAAGAAAAATGTAACCACAGACGTTGTTTACGGCTGACTTATAAATAGATTTTGTTGTGTTACCATATGGACACACAAGGCGTTGAAGGGTTAACAAAGAACAATAATAATAATTAATAATTTTTGTTGTACCACAGTTTAAGATATAGGGATATGGTTCTGTCGTTATCAATCTTGTTTTTAATAATTAATGTAACGTTTTTGATAGGTTGGTTAATATGACCCAAACTGCCTTTTAATATAATCATAAATAATTTGTTGGCCGTTAAGATTATTTAATGTTATCCTTAACTCTTAAGCCTTAATTAAAGCAATGTGAGGAATCCAAACCGTTATTCTAAATTGATATCGTAAATTATATAAATGGAACAAGTACGTTTCTATGAAAATAATTATTTTCATAAAAAAAGTTTGTTTTGGATCCCCTTAATATTTTAATAAAATTATTTTATTCTGAAAACTGACATTTTTAGAGATGGGTACTTCAATTAATCTTATATTTATTATTCTACCCATTTTATATACATATTATGTTCTTAATAAAATATGAAATTATACTGAATAAAACAAAACATTTTAAGTTTCTATGACAAAAAATAGGTTTTAAGTTAAAGTAAATAAATAAAGTATGATTAAATACAATAATTAAGGTAATTTTATTAATATTAGACATTAATCAAAAATGTCAGAAGCTAACGAAAATATCCCAGGTATTCAATAACGTTTTTCTTTTTTTTTTTAATTAGGTGTTTTAATGTACTTTAGTTTTTTGCAGAAACTCTTAATTTAGAAAGTCGAACATCGTACCCTAGACAATTATGTTCTAAGACGAATAAAAAATTTCTCATTGAAGCTCTGGAAAATGAAATTATACCAAATATGCCAATAACTACGTTCAAAGAAATTCAGACCCCTGAAAGTAAATTGCTATCTGAACATAGAGTAATTATTTAAATCTAGAACTAGGCATTGAAGATTTTTCATGTACCTACATTTAGCAACACCTGGTATCTGTAGAATATGTCTACAGTCCGATTCAGAAGAGTCAAATAGATGTATTTCTCCTTGCTTATGTCGTGGAAGTATCTCTAAAGTGCATAGAACATGTTTGGAAAAATGGCTTTTACAAGCCGACTCTAGTGATTGTGAAATTTGTACATTTAAATACAATACCAGGTGGATCACTAAGTAATGATAATTTCTTTATACAAATAATATATGTATATATATAATATAAGCGTATAACCTAATGATTTATATAGGTCAGGGGCGCCCAAACTTTTTTTGGTCACGATCTACTAAAAATATACTTCACCTTTGAGGATCGACTTTTATAGAAAATTTTGAATGAGTAGTTCTAAAATGTCTTTCTAGATTACCTTTTTTTGTTGTGGATATTGTTGTTTGACGTATCAAACATATGCACTTGTCTTTCAACATTGTAAAAAAAATTCATTTCCCATTCTTGATGAAAATGAGAGTTTTTTGTTTCTTATGTGTACTCATAATTATAAATTTTAAAGAACTTAAATACGTTATTATAAATTTAATACAACAGACACCGAATAAACACGGTGAAATGAACATTCGTGAACGATAAACACTTGACACATAAAACCAGATTAAAAGATAAAAACCGTACAGGTAAAATTTATCGACAATTCGATAAGTAATTCGTGCGCGTGTTCCTAAAAATAAATTCTAAAATGATCGATTTTGAAATTGGCCGCCCTTGATATAGGTACCCACTTACCCATATCTGTATAATAGTTAGGTACTTACATTAATAGCTAGTTATTGACGAGAATACAAAATAAAAACTGAAGAAAATATAGGTACAATATTGAATATAAAATAATATGTTGTCTTATATTTTGTTTTATAGATACTCATTACTAGGATCAATTAAAGGATGGTTTTTTAGTAAAAAAAACCAAGAAGAAATCAAAGAATTGTTCCGTGACTTGTTTATATTGCTCATAATAGTACTATTGTTATCCTGGCTTTCGTTCTTAAAAGTTTTTATCATCAAGCTCGACAGAGATATACAGGTTATTAAAGTCCAAATAATTTGACAAATTTTGTGGTATTACGTTTAAAAACATCGACATAATATGCAAAGTACACATCATTTACATTCATATCCTTTTTAAATTTTATTTAAAACTTTCTTTTGCCTGTATAGAAATTTTGAAAGATTGTGCATTGATCTATATTCTATGCGGACGACTGCGAATTGGTTCCCGGGTTGTCTACAGGTAATATACGAGTTGGTTCCCTGGTAGTCTACTGGTAACATAAGAATTGGTTCCCGCCAGCTTTTGTGATAATACAGTCTTGTTAAATTAACTTTTCAAATTATTATGATATATTCAACCAGCAACAATTTCCTTCCCATTTATTCAGACTTAGGACTGTCTAGGATTCAAATGAGTTCGAATAGTTCAAACACTATCTAGAATACCTAGGTATGGTTAAAAATGTTGCTTAGTATAATATATTAATAAATACATAATATACGCTACATACGTATTTGTCAATAATAATAATAGTGCTTGTAATAAATAAGTTTAATAATAATATAATAATAACTAATAACTAACTAGTCATGATAAATAAATAATATAAGAAAAAAATTAATGTGGTATGAATTTACAACACACATTTTTAACGAACATTTTCAATTTTTTAATATTTTCATTCATAAACTAGGTATTCCTTTTCAGCAATTTTATTTTATTTTAATTTGAGTGAGCTTCTTTGCTTTACATATGTTTCGCATTGCAACGCTTTTAATTGTTCAATCAATAAAAATATATTTGGGTGGGCGGAATAAAATCTAGAATTCAGTTTTCTATGAAACGATTCGCAACAGTTTGTTGTTCGCTCTGAAGTGGCTGAAAAATCTGCCCAAATTTTTGGTAAAAAATCACTATCATTTTCAATATAATTTTCAAGTACATAATCAAAAAATGTATCAAGTTTTTCATGTGCAGGTTTTATAGCCATCAACTCGACATAAACGTTTTGTATTATATCAGGAGGCAATAAAGGTAATCCGAAAAAGTATATGCCCAATCTCTGAATCTTTATTTTTAAATTCATCTAAGAGTCCTAGAGATTGGATTTTTCTCCAACACGCCTATCCTAAGCAGAATCTACATCCTCTTAATTTAGACTGTGACCAAACTTCAGATACTGCCAGGTGAATAGCCTTTTCAAAATCAGCAAAAATAATTTCAGGCCTCATATGATGCTCTATAAATCGAAATGCTTGTATATAAGTAGCACTGTTCTTATTGGGCAGTAGGAAAAAAACTAAGGGAAAATAATTGTTATCTTTTACACCACTAATGGTAAAAAGCTAAAAAAAAATTTTGGGCAACTTTTAAAAGTTCTATCCACAAACACCGTTTTCATTTTGCAGAGTATCTCTAAATTATGTGAACAAGTAAAAATTACAATATTTGTTTCACAATCATTAATAAATTTAAAATTTTCTCCACGATTTGTTATTGCATCGTAATTATCTAATGCTTCATGTAGTTCTGTTAATATTTTAGGTAATTTAGGTAACTTACTTGATCGACTAGCGTGAATATTTTGTCTTACTGTAAAAACATCATGCGTTGTAAGCTCTTCAATATCACCATTGACTAGTAACTCTTGGCAAATTAATTTTGTTGGACGTTCAAGATTTTCCTGAGCTTTTCTTTTTAAGTTATTGCTTAATATTTGCCTGTCCAATATGTTTTCACTATCTTCGTCATGATTGTGTTCGAGGTTACATTAATCAACATTATTTAAATTATTTATTTTTAAAAACGATTTGCATTTTCTTTTTGTACAAGTCCAACGTTCCATATTTCCCGATAGTTATTTTTGAAATCCGTATTTGAAACCCTTAATAACAAAGAGTTTTTTATTTTTTTCACTTAACATCACTTCCATTTTAACTCACTCACTAGGTTAGTTGTCACAAGACTGACGCGAAACATAATCAATCTATTAGATATAAAATTATATTTATAAACTTTCCCAGATAACGTAAAATCTAATAAAATATTGTAAGATAAACGATTGAACATATACGTATCTTGTAACAGTGAGTTGTATCCTGATAAACTGATAAGTAATTTTATTCGGGAACCAATTCGAACAGTTGCATACCGGAAAGTGTTTTTTTCGGAAACCAATTCGTAGGTACACTTTAATTGACCCGGGAACCAATTCCACGTTCTCCATCTATACGTTCCGAAATGTTTTTTGTTTCTGGTTGTAACCAACCTCTACAATCACTCGGCGGTCTCCGTACGATATAACGACGTTTTAGCTGAGGTCGATATATTTTTGCCACCTTAATTCATTTAAATATTTTAGAATACAATATAACAATGTTTAAAGATATGATAAAACATGAAAAATAATATTATTTTTTTTTGTTAGTACGATAATACACATGTACCCCCATTAAACTTCTGGAATATTCCAATATTTAATTGACACAATAATTGAACACTTTTGATCATATTTAAATAAATACATTTTATGTTTTAGGTAAAATATTGTATGGTTTACCGAATTTTATTATTTAGCACTAGTGCGACAATAACAATCGTGGACTTTAGTTTGGGCTTTATCTCTACTCTCCGAATTCATTATCATACCACACATTGGTATAATTTCTACAAGAAAAATAAAAAGGTAATTGTCTTGGATTTGAAACTTCCGGAGGACTCTGTAAATGCAAGTACTGGATAAGAAGTTGAATCAAGATATGAAATTATGCTATAAACAAGATTTTAGTTTACTAAATTAATTACATTTTAAATAAATATACCTACTTTGAAAATTAAACAATAATCTAAAGTTAAATAATTATAATAGCTGAGTATAACAAATATTTATATTTAATTCAAAATTAATTACATATTATATTAAATAAATATAAAATAATATTAACAATATTTTTTAAATTTGACATGAATAGTAAGATTAAATAGTATTAGTATTATATTATAGTTAAAAGAATATGGACTAATATTTAATTTAAGATATATTATTAAAATATAAATATACTTACATGCTGATAAATAACTACAATCTAAGCTTAATTATTTTTATAAGTTGTTGTTGTTATAAATTTGTTTGGTTAGGATGAATCTAATTCATTGATGAAAAAATTAATTGTGAAAGCTAATTGTTTAAGTTCTTTTGAAACGGAAACCTTGAGGTTTTCTAGTGGACATTTTAATAAAACTTTTTACAACTAAAGTACTAACTAATAAATAGTTTAAAACTAAGTTACTTGTATGGAAAACTAGGAGAATAACTTCTGTATTAAAGTCTGGAGATCCTTCACTAACCACTAACTACAGACCCTAATTTTCCTTTTTTTGGAAAATGATTTGAACTATTTGTCCTGAAAAGAATTTAAAGAGTTCTATCACCTATACTATCTATTGACAAACATGGTTTTTTCCCGGTCGGTCCACTACAACCAGCTCATTAGTTTTCTCTTCATTTGTTCGTTATGCTTTTAATGAATCAGACATCAGTACACGTTGACACTATTTTTACTGACTTTTATAAGACATTTGACTCGGTTGATCATTGCAACCTTATTTACATTCTTGATAAATTAGATAAGTATTGGAAAACCCCTATTATCCTGGTCCCAATCGTACTTATCTGATGGATGGCAATTTGTCAATTTATTTGGTATTACGTCCAAAATGTTCAGAGTTACGGGGTTCCCCAAGGCGGACATCCCCTTATTATTTAAAATTTTTATTAATACAGTTTTACTTAATTTTCTCCCTTGTCGCGTGTTGCTTTTCGCCGATGATGCTAAGCCTTTTGCTAGGATATCAAACAATAACAAACGATTTCTATGTAGCCTATGTTTTTCAGCCATCATTAGATGGTTTAATAATCTGGTGTAAAACAGTTGGACCGACTCAACGAAGACAAATATAAAGTCATGTCCTTCTATAGATCTAGAATATTTATCGATTACAATTATACCTACTATAAACGGGATACCTCTAAAGCGGGTTCAAGAGAAAAAAGATATTAGATTCATATACACACCGACTTTATCCTTAAATCTCATAAAGATCATATATCCTGCAAGTCATTAAAGATTTTAGGATTTATTCGTCGTCATACCACTGCCTTGAAAAATCCTCAAACTTTTTATAATTATTCTAAGCTTAACTTATGGACAGCATAGTATTACATTTCCAATTCATAGCTTTTGATAGTAAAATATTTATAAATTTTTAACTACCAAATAGTTGAAAATATTCATGATTTTGATGAATTTTTGTCAATATTTGAACTTCAAATGCTAATAAAAAAATATTGTGCCTATGTATTTTTATAATTTTTGAATGAGAGTTAGAACAAGTTATGTGGACTCTTCTATTAAATTTTCAAGTAATTTGTCTCAGCTAAATAATTTTTATCAACATTTATATAAAAAAAATTTTAAAAAAATTGATTATTTCAAATTCCTATAAATAGCTCATAAAAAGTCAAAATATTTTGAAAATCAAATCACAAAAAGAAAATGGTAACCTAAATAACTGGTAAAATTTTCAAGTATTTACGACTTATACTATTTGAATAACAACAAATATCAAAAATCGTTTGAGGCTAAACCGTTATTAACGCGGTTTTGTAAAAATTTAAATTTCAAACACTCCTAAAAATTTTTTGTCTTATTCCTGTAGATTTTTTTTCAGATAGTTGAAGAAAAACTTATGGAGAACCTTGTAACGAATTTTCAAAACTTAATTATAAAAGAAAAAATTTTTACGATTTTTCAACCACAAAATAACTTGCAAATTTTCGCAATTTTGACATATTTCGTATAAATTCGAACTGTAAGCACTTATAAAAAAATTGTGACTTACAATTTCGGATTTTTTTTTATCACTATAAGAAAAACCTAGAACAACTTATAAGAAACCTTGTATTAAATTTTCAAGATTTTCTGGCCAAAAAAATTTTTATCGTTATTTAAAAAAAAAAATACTTAGAAAAATTGAAAATTGAAATTGTCTATAAGTAGCTTAAAAAAAATCAAAATTCTTTGACAATTTAACTGTGTATAGAAAATGCCAATATAAACATTTTGTGAAAATTTCAAGTATTTACAACGAATAAGTTTTTGAGTTATAACAAAATAAAAAATTCGATTTTGTCGAAAACTGGTTTTGCGAAAAAATCCCGTTTTTCCCTTATTTTTTTAAGGTTTTTCCGGACGTATTTAAAAATTATTGAAAATGTTTAGCTTTTGATCCCCCTAAGTACCAACTAGATTCAATTTCCTTTTCAAAAAGGGGCTGAAGTCAAAAATTGAAGCAATATTACTGCTCCAAATGTTGTCGTCAGACACAAAAAAAACAAAAAAAAAACATACATCATTGTAAAATCACTCCGTTCAGAATCTAAAAATAACAAATTTGTCCTTATTATTTCAGATAATCTGAGAAACAAGTAAAAATTACTCATTATTACTATTTGCTTATACAGATTAGAGCTGAGCTGAAATTTTTATTCTTATAAAACAGCAATACATTAAATAGGATATGGATTGAATGGTGTAGGTAGATATTTACTTATTAAACCGAAGAAAATAAAAATAAAAAATGTATATAAATTATAAATAAACTATAGGTAACATATATAAAACATCACATATTTAACCAGGGCGCCTTGAAATGGAATTTTATGTCATTGATTACAAATTTTGCAAGATTAATTTGCAAATGCAAGTACTTACGAGCACTAATAAATGATAATAACATATCTAAATAGATAGAAATGTATTATAATAATATTTATTTATCTTACCTTAAAAAGTAAGTGTCGAACCCATTTGTATTTTTCATTTTTTGTTTCAAAAACATATAGCATCCAGAATCGCAATTATTTATTACAAACGGTTCTCTTTTTTTAGGGGGGGGGGGCAAATGCCTAAATCATTGGAACGTTATTTGTACTTGGACGGAAGGTCGTACGAATTTCGGAAATGGGCATACAAATTCATACAAATTACGTACTAAATGATGGGACCGAAGAAAACACCCTGACTCCCTCGGTTCTGGTGGGGGGGGGGGGGTGCTGGGGAAACGTTTCTCCAGCACCGCCTCGATTTTTTGCTTGTGGGGCAAAAACTACGTTCGTACAAATTTGAAAAATGGTCATACAAATTCATACTAATTGCATACTAAATATTGGTAAAAAAAAAAATTAAAATCGTATGTGGGGGTGCTGGGGTAACGTTCGTCGCTGTCCCAGGCAGTGGCGCCGAATGAAATTGAAACTGGCAGTTCAAATAATTTGATTCACCCACCTACCCTTTCAAAATTACCACCCATCGGGATTTTTTTTTCAACAACAGCTGTAAATTAATATACCAATAAAATTAATGTTTTTTAATAATTGTTAATATTATTATTATTTGTAAATGGATTTCTTAACTCTTACACATAAATTAAAATAAACACTGTTTAACATAAATTTGATGAAATAGAATAGAGTATTAAGTGATAATTAAATAATATTTTGTAAACTAATTTGCCTTTAATAACGTACAAAGTCAAATTATATATATAAAAAAAATTATTGGTGTACATATTGTTTATAATAATTTTGAAGACAAGACTGATGATAGCTTTGCAAATTTATCAATGACATCAGAGTTATTTATTGAAAGATTTTCACATGATATTGACATCAAGTTTTCAAGTTTTCCTTGTGAGATTGTGCTACGTAGCCGATTTTTTATAATTTTAAGCTTTGAAAATGTACGTTCAGGTGACGCACTTGTAACAGGCAATGTGGTCGCAATATGAAGTGCAGTATAAAGAGTTGGAAACACTTCTTTTAATCCAGACATATGGCATAATTTCAATAAATCTAATAAACTTCCTAAATTAATATTTTCATTATTGAAGTCAATTTTGTCATTAGAATCTGAATCTGAATCATCCATTTGTGTATTTTCACCAATATCCGACAAATTATCTTCATCACAAACTTCCACACTATAATCATTGTGAATACTTTTGGGTAACTTCATGATGTTAGAAAATTCAGAGAAATAATTGGCAAATTGCACATACTCTTTTTTTAACTCATCGAGTTGTACAAACTTTGAGTATACATCACAAAATGAATTAAAAGCATCCTTCGGTAAAGCAGAGTTTTTACATTTTATTTCATTTAAACGTTTAGTAGAAAAGAGAGAAATATCTTTTAGTAAATTTTGAGATTTAGAAGTAAATCTGTCATTAATAGCAGTGATAATTGTGTCTAAAGCAACAAAGTATGTTTTAATTTTAAATTCATATTTAGGATCAGTAATAGGGTTATCTTCTATTTGTTCACTTGGCAATCGTTTTTTTTTTCTTGGACGATGAATGGGCAAAGGTGAGAACTCCATATCTGAATTTTCAATGTAATTTTCAGTTTTTTTACAAAGTTCTGTATATGCATTGTCTTTTCGCAATTCTTTTATTTTATCAGTTACCAAGTGTATACTTTTTATTGTACCTAATAAATCAATATTAATTGATTGAAGTATTCTGGTCAAAGGATCCACAATACAGAAAATATCAATATATAAAAAGGCAGTAAGAATAAATCGTTCAGAAAGAAAATATTCAATTAAACCAGTTGCTTTTGCTCCACTTTTAAAATCTACGCATCCTTCATCTTGCTGTATTTTTATTAAGGTATCTATCAAAGCATTAAGTGTTATAATTACTGTATTTAATGCAGATGAAAGTGAAAACCAACGTGTTGTCTCAACACGTTTTAGTCGATGGACTCGTTGTTTTGGATAATGTGTTTTCTGTGCATTATCAAACCAAGAAACTCTTTTTTTGCTACTTGTAATAAACGCGTATAAAGATTCTAAATTGCCGAATAAGTCAACAGCATTTTGCGAACTGCTAGATCCTTGAACAACTATTAAGCTCAAACGATGAGCATAACACCAAGTGTATGTAGCAGCAGGATTTTTTGCACACACAAGTGCTTGAAGGCCAGCATATTCTCCACGCATGTTGGCTGCACCATCATAACTTTGTCCTACTAAAAACCGTCTCCAATTCAGTCCATTTTCAGCACAGATTTCTTGGAAAATAGTTAAAAGATTTATTCCAGATGTTATAGATGATTCTTTCAAAGCTAAAAGACGTTCGTTAATTACTGGTATCGTTTTTTCAAAATTAACATAGCGAATAATAAATGCCAATTGCTCTTTTTTAGAAATATCAAAAGTAGTATCAATAGAAACACTAAAATATCGAGACTCTTTTAACTGTTTAATGATAACTAATTTGATACACGAAGCCACAGAATCGATAAGCTGATTTTGTCTCTCCCAAGACAAAAAGTTCACTTCTTTTCTTCCTTTGTTTTTTATTTTTTCAATATGTATAGCCAACGAAGGTGACCATTTGCTAATTAGTTCTGCTAAATCTTTAAAATTGCCTTTATTAGCCTCAGACCAATTCTCACGGTGACCTCTAAATGAAAGAGAATGTTTCCCGAGAAACTTTGTAATTTCTACCAATGTATTCACCACGTCTCTGTTTATGGCCACTTCTTCTCTTTTTTTTTCCTCCAACGATGGTAAAATGGCTACAGAGTTCTGTTTTTATTTAACAATTATTGACGCATTAATATGAGAACTTGATTTCTCATGTAAACTAATATCACCAAGTCTGTTCCAACCTTGAAAACCATCTTCTATCCAACTTTTTTGTGCATATTTATCGCCAAAAAACATACAATATAAGCAAAATAATCGATTTTTTGAGATGGAGAAGGTCAACCAATCTCGATGTACACGATCATCACCAGTAAGTTTCCTCCAGTAATAATCTTCGGTAAAGCGATGACCATATTTTTGAGGAAAATTGTTTCCCGGTAGTTCATTCTTTTTAGGCTGGAAGGGGCCTTTAGAAATTATTGCCAACTTTTCGACCAGTGATAACTTTTTCTTAACAAATATAATTGGATCACAACTGCTCAAGTCTAAAGAGAGGGATTCTGAAAATATATAACTTTATAAATTTATGTTTGGTAAAAATGTATAATACATTTTTTTTAATTTAAGTAGGTATTAATAGATAATAATTTATACGAAAATTGAATATTATCATAACATTGATGAATAATTATTATTGTTGTATTTACCAATAGAGGAAGTCTCAATATTAAACGTTGAATCACTGTTTACATTTTGTTCTTTTGTACAAGATTTTGGATCTGCAAATATTTCACACTCTTGTTGTTTAACTGAAAGTAAAACAAAATAGTAATTTAATAATGAATATTAACAGTAGAATATCAAAATTTAAAATGATATTATTGTTGTATTTACCAATAGAGAAAGTCTCAATATTAAATGATGAAAGTAGTCTATACAGTGTATTTTATATTTTATAATAATTAGTTTGATTATTACATGAAAAGCATTTGAATTTAAAATTATCAAAATCTTTTATTCAGTAATTTTGGACTTAGGAAAATAATTTTTTTCAAAGATTTTGCCCAGCTCTGATTGTTGGTAAAGTGTTTTACGTGATATTTTTGGCTGAAGATAGTAAGAAAAATTTCAATATGATATACAATTATTTTTAAATTTTTAAAATCTTGTAAGAGGAATTTTTATTAATTTTAAGTAAAAGCTGGTTGAAAAAAAACATTGTCTATTTTGCGCGTGGGTCTGAGAGGGAAAATAAATACCGTGGGTGATATTCTCATATCTATAAATAATAATTTAAAATCTATATCAAAATCAATACTTACCTTTTTTGAATGGATTTTTACTCTGCGGCATAGATTCATGGTTACGAAAAAAACTTGTGACATCCGAACAAATTTTTTTAGCTTTTAATTTGGTCACTGCACATGACGATTGATGACGATTCCAATTTGTTAGATTTAAACCCATTCTTTTTTTACCGCACAAACAAATTGAATCAGTTGACATATTATTAACTTTAAATACTTCTCAGTTAAACAGTTTACAAAAGACAAAACTTCACTTTGGTGGTAAAATAAAAAACAATAATTAATAATATTGGGTAGTTCACTCACTAGCTAATAGCTATAATATTATGACTGCCGAACGGTCAACGCCTCAACGGTCAACAATGGGATATTAGTGGTTAAAATAGTTTTTCGGTCGTGCTGTAGGCAACGACGTCGACGCGTCGCTTATTTTTATGTTTTATCTTATGTTTATTGATAAGTCGATATGGGAATTCCAAACGGCATACACAGTACCAGATATACATTTCATTATTTTTAAATATTCTATATTAATATTTAATCCCATAATAGATATTGAATTAGATATTGAGTAATCGGTACTACGAATTACATACATTGACAAGACCCATTACATACTGCAATATAAGATTGCCTAGTCTTTTAGAATGGATTACGCTCCAGTCCCCAACTAATTAGTAATTTTATATAAATTATTGAACAATTTTCTTGTGTAATAAAATTAAAGCAGAAAGACTCAACAGTACTCTATTTTTTTATTAACTTTTTGTAAATACAATTACAGCTCAACTGTTATGGGGAATAGCAGTAACACAGTAAAATTTAAATAAAGTTAGATGCTGAAGCCCGCTAAAAAGATAAGCATAATAAATATATAATATATTTTATCATTTTATTTATTTAATAGTACAAAATACATATTTTGAATTAGTCTTTTTTCATCAGTTTTATAAATTGTATCCAGTGACTTACTCAATTCGTAATATAAAACTAATAGAAAGCACCACAATCGTTCATTAACTTTCCGTAACAGATCTTGTTCAAATGATAAAGGTTCGTTTCCAGTCCTATTAATCTTAGTCTGTGGACGAACATAATTTATCATTAGAAGGACTTGATAAAATACAATAGCCCACAATCTATGGGTGGAAAAAGTGGCATCACCCGGTCTGCTTGTCAATGTATGGAAGTTAGCAATCTAGATAATTATCTATATCTCTACATAAAATATATTTATTCATAATTATTATTACTTATTGGAAAAAAATCTGATTAATGTATGATAAAATAAAATAATATTATTTTAATGTTTTAATGGCTGCAAAAAGCCAAGTTTAAATGAAAAATAAGCTAGAATGTTTTGTGGCTAGAATGCTAGAAGGGTTTCTTAATATGCTAGATATGGCCATAAAATGGCTAAAGCGGCAGCAATGACTGAAATAATATATACCATTGATAAGCGAATACTATAATAACTAATAAGTAATTAGACTTAATGTATTGTGTGAATAATAATAATATATTATTATTAAAAGTTTAATGTATAATGATATTATGTAGGTAACCATTATTATAACTAGTATAGAATATTTTACAATGGACAATATATGTTTATCTATGTGCATAGAATATTCAAAAAATAATCTTATATTAATAATATATAATGAATAATTCTTTAGAAGAATATTAGTGTAGTTTGTTTTTAAAAGGATAAGTAAATAAGGATATTGAATAAATTACGAAAAGAATATTATATTTTAAATAAGCCTATGAATCTCGTTAAGAATATGAATTAGTTGTTCAGATTATTCATAGAATAGTTGGAATATTTAGAGCATTATCATTGAACGTTTAGTGTTTGTTGAGATATGATATTAGCGGAAGTATAATATACTATATATACTATATACTGTATCATCATACATAGTACTAGTTATCTAGTTAATATTAAATTCTAAACAAGCACATTGTTTATAAAAATGTAAACACACACACACACACACACACACACACACACACACACACACACACACACACACACACACACACACACACACACGCACACTATAATCATATTATACAAATACATTAATCATTTAATATTATTATGTACACAATAGGACAATAAGTACACAAATAATATTATTACGACTGTGGCTATACAACGAAGAGAAGGTACCTATATAACTTTTACCGAGACGGCACCAGCCGTGTGTGTAAACTGCAATGTTACGTAAATTTCGCAAATGCCGTTAATAAACATAAATTACAATAAAAATAACAATAATAATGCTAATAACAGTAACAACTGTAAGGGTAATGACTAATGATAATGATTGTCATTTTTTTGTTTTTTTTTAGAACAAACGTTGTCATCAATTTTAATGTTCGACGGCGGCATAATATATGCTATTGCATAATATGTACCTAATATTCGTGACCGTAATCTTCTCCAGATGTATCACATCGGAGCCTGTGTCGATATGACTTACTCCGTACATTTAAATAATAATCTGTAAAGTAAACCATGGCATGCAGATCCATGGTTGTTACTTGCTGCTGGGTAACCATATGTAACTATACGTACTATTGGTATAAACCAAGCGCCATCAACCTTTTTCATGTTTAGGGCCAAAAAATGAATTTGATATTTTTCGTGGACTACAGTTCGAGTATAATATTATCTTATTTTTTTTTTGTTTTAAACAAAAATATAAAATGTATAGCCATATCAAATTTAGTTTATTTAAGTTCATAACTGCTAGGTTTATTTATTTAACAAAGGATCTACAATGACTGCAAAAGTACAAAAAACAACGTTTTAATCTCCAGTTCCCAATTTATAATTTCCCAGTTTTAGTTCGTAATTCTTTTACGAATTATTAATTTAACTCGCGAACCACACACAATTACAATGAGGGCCACATGCGGGTTCCAAAACACTAAACTATCAAGTAAGATGACTCGATTTTTATTCTTAAGATAATTTTTAAGTAAACAACTATTTTTCGTTATTATATTATAAATCGCTATATTTTAGAGTCTACTTTAGCATATTTTCTGGTAGGAAAGTAAATCTAGTGGGTACTTTGGTGGGTCAAAAGCATCGGACAAAAAAATTAAGTTAACGGAGATTGTGTATTTAACTCAAAAGCAAATAACGATAAATACTTTAAATTTTCACCGAACGTTTATAATAAAATGATCTACTCGTATATGCCATAAAATGTTTATAATATTTTGACTCTTTTTGAGATATTCATAGGCATAAGAAAATGTCAGTTCATAATACTTTTTTTAAAATTATTGTCGATATAATATTTTTTTAAATTGAATACAAAATCCCTCGTAAGTAGCTGATAGTGGAAATAAAAAAATGATAGAGTTTAAATCCACAATATATTTTTATGAGTATCTGAAGTTACATTTTGATCAAATCCGTCGAAAACTCGACAATTTACAATTTATTTTGGATTAAAAATGCATAAAATTATTCTATTCATATCTAAGACTTGAAAATGTATACAAAATTTCCCTCATAAGTATTCTTACATTGAACATAAACAAATAGTTTACAGTGTTAAATTATTTTTTTATGAGCGTTATTATTTTTAATTTTTTGGCATTGGATATTCATTAGTAAATCAACGAATTCTCATCAAACGAATTTCTTATTATGTTAAATCAAAAGCGAATAAGATACTTAACATTTTCACCAAATTATTATTTTATTATTTTATGTATATGATATAATTTTTAACTTCACAAGTATTTCGACTCATTTTAAGTTATTTATAGATATTTGAAATTTTTAGTTTTCTATAAAATCAATAAATGTTATACGTCGAGTCAAAATGCTCGAAAATGTAATAACAAGTACCATATAAGTCGTTTAGTTAGTAATAGCAGTACAAAACTATCAAAAATACGTATGCACTATATTATTTTTTATAAGCAATTATAGTTCAAATTTGGACGAAATTAGATATTTACGCAAACAATAACTATTTTAGTTATTTTGTTGTAATTTTAAAAACTTATTCATGAGTTACTTATATTACGACGACTTTTTCATATACAATATTTTGGGCAAAAATTAATTCAACCTACTGTATTACTAATATCTATTAATAAAATGAATTACTTTAATTAGCAATAATTGGTATCATAAAACAGATGACAGACCGTCTTCGCTCAAAATGTTTTTTTGTATGCCTAAAATGATTTTATATTATTGAATTCAAATTTAACACATCCATTACAGTGACTCCACAATAACTAATGAATACCTACAACAGAGTGGTACCCACTTGCCCAACCTTTGAATATCGTACTTATTAATATATACATGTCCCTCGCTTGGCAGTCTTGCACCGTCCGTCTATTTTATCTATGACTCACATATATTAGTGTATTACTACAAAACTATATACGTTTGAAATGATCTTGAATTGATAAAATCTATACAAAACTAATCACTTTAACATAGTAACATTTGTATCAACCAATTGAGTAAGTGGTCTTGTATATATGATGTCATTATCGCCTATAAAAAGTACATACTATTCTGTTTGGTTCAGTATACTCATTGCACTATTTATATTTTAAAATACAAACTCAAGTGCCTGAAATTAGGGTGAAACATAGAAGGAAAATGGTACTAAATTGTTTCTTAATATATGAAAAAAATAACGGTTATGAGATGTTGCACCATAGTAGAAAAAATAATAAATAAAAATGATAATAATCATTTTGTATAATGTACATAATACTATATTAAGTAGAGACGTCGAGTAAATTTTTCTTCTTTGTTCTTTAAGCCTAAATTATTACTCAAATATATTATTATGTTTTTTTAGGATTAATGCATGCTTGTTTTCAAACAAACTTGTTTTTGACCGAGAAGAGGACACATTTTTTTCAGGTAGTTTTGGTATAGTATAGCAACTATCAACAATTGACGTAAATGTCAGGACACGTCTAATGTACATTTATGTATTACAAACTTGTAATATTACATATAGGTACATGGTGGTGAAAGAGGCAAATCATTTTACTTCTAACGCAATATTTGGCTGTGCAAGTCTATATTTATCTATATAGCTTATTTGCACAATTGGCAAGAGGATTTTTGGATACCTACTAAACCTAATATACGCATATTATGTATAAGCAATACATCTTTCTACATAAGAATCA